GTTTTAATGAAATGAATAAAGGAAAAATTGAATTGATAAATTATTTTGATGCTTGGAGCTAAATCGTATCAGATCAGTTTGCTGCACGTTAATAAATAAGTGTCATGTCAGACACAAGATCCATAACCTGAATGAGGACAAGAAAAACAACAGAAAATCTGTTGTTTTAAGATTTTTTTTTTATTTTTTACAAATATCTGGAGTAGTGAAGGAAGCTAATCTGGAAAACAAAGCTGAAAGTCTACGCTAGTCGTTAATTATCATTGCAGCTCATTTACCACAAGTGCCTGATTAAAGTTTAAATTCAGCAGAAAATCGACTTCTTTTTGCCTGAAATAATTTCAAGTTACTTTTTATACGCTGCAGGCCTGTTAGCATTAAAGCTACATGCTAGTGATCAGGAGATGAAATCAAAGTGACCACTGTTAGCCAAAACTGACTCGTTTTTTTTAGTTCTCAGTATTTCTTGTCAAAGTTACCATAAWAGAGGAAACACAGATAAAAATGTTTGAACATGTGCTCGTTACAAAGATATATCATTATTTATATTCTGATGGTTGATTTAAGGTTCTGTAGCGTGTTCTCAAGTCTTGGTTTGATATTTATTTGTGTCAGTGTTGTTTTACTCAGGTATTTGTTTTATCACTCAGGCTGATTTGCATGAACACTGAAGACATTCGTAGTATTTTCTGAAATGACAAATCATTTAGGTGTTACAGTATTACCTCTGTGCTGTAACTGCAGGTGTAAGTTCGGCTGTTAATGTTTGCAAGTTGTATTTTTCTGTAAAAACTGTTGAGGCCGTTCAAGCTTCTGTAATGTTTTTCTAAATGTTGATGCTGGTGAGCTCTGCAGCTGCATGGAATATGGAATAAACTCTACTCACAACACGTTCTCTGTTTGGACTCTTACTGCTCTGTTCCAACCTTCAGTCTCGTTTCAGCTCAGCTCTGACACAAAAACACTAAACTCCATCAGAAACAGCTTTTCACTTTTATAGCGCCACACTGCAAAACAAATATAAATATAAACTCAAAGCTCAGTCTGCGSATCAGACGTTTATCACAGAAATATAAGTTTAAGCTTGAACCTTTTACACAAATCCACTTTAAGTTTTAGAATTGCACTTATAAAAACATGTTCAACTTACAGTTGTCAAACTGCAACATTTTATAATAGWCCAAGAGATAGACCATGTTTGACTACATAAAAAGTACCAGCAAGTTTAATGGTTCCCCATTAAACCACATCCCTTACAGGTATAAAAAAAATATTTCTTACAAAATTTCTCCTGGACACAAAGTCAGAATTCAAGATTAATGCTTCAATACTTATTTTATCCGCTGTATGACCATAATCACCAGATCTTTTGCTTCAGATCTGTTTTTTTTTGTACCAAAATGTTAAAAACTGATTGCTTAACTAATTCCAGTTAACTAATATTGAACTTATAAAGCCATTTACAGCTGGCATCTACAAAAATGCAAAATAGAGTCAAAATTTGAGCTTATTTTGAAAATCTGGTCATGCACTTTCCCCAGCTGTTCTGTCAGTGTTTCCTAAAACTGGCACCAAAAATATCTTCAGACACTCTACTAATTAAAAAACATAAGATGCACAATGCCATCTTTTTTCATTATAGTACCCAACAAATGACATAAACCCTCCAAATTAACGATATATATGAAATTTCTAATAATGTACATATTATTGCCCTTCTTCATATTTAAATCATACTTCAGTGTTAAAAAGTATATTTGAAAACACTGGGTTATTAATGTTAATTAAATCTCATCCATCCATTCCTTATCTTTCGTTTTGGGAGAAATTTTGTAAGAAATGTTATTTTTTAATACCTGGAAAGGATGTTTAATGGGGAACCATCAAAACTGCTGGTATGTTTTATGCAGATGAACATGGTATATCTCTTGGACTAAATAAAAAAATGTTTCTCCCCTCGCAGCTTTGTTTCAGTACAGAAGCAGAACTCCAGCAGGAAACTGATGTTCTGTTTAAACACTAAATATTTGCAAAATGTGCAGCCAAGATTTTGGGTGTGTTGTCTTGTGTTTTCTCAATATATATTTCACTTTCTAATCTCTCTTTCACTC